CCCACCCCCAGCCAACCCCCTGCCCGGCAAGTCTCCAGAGAGGCCTTCCCGGGCCCCCATCGCCCAGCCCTGACCCTCGGCCTCGCCCTGACCCCTGGTCACACTTGGTCCAGTCTCTTCCCCCAGCAGCTGCGGTGACTTGGTGCCTGTGCCCCGGCTTCTACGAGCTCAGGAGCGCGCTGAGCGGCCCGTTTCTCAGCCGTCCTCCCTGTCCAGGGACGGGGGCTGGTTCCGGGGACATGTGGGCAGGTGGGGCCCCTGGTCTCCCGGGGGACGCCCAAGCCTTTGGCACAGTGTGGGGACAAGTGGGGGTGGAGGGTCCTGCTGAGGCACATCGTTGGGGGCTGTTGCTGAGGATACAGGCCCTGGGGCCTTCCCACGGCCTCAGAACTCCAGGTGATGCCCGGAAAGAGGGGCCCCCTGGCTTGCCCCTCTGCTGGGCAGACTGGGAGCTCGCTCTGTGGGAGGCCCGGCGAACAGAGCAGAGGCCTCCGAGGCTCAAGGCCCGGATGCTGAGGGGCCTGTGGGGTGCCCACGGCAGCCAGGAGGGGCCTCCGCTGTGAGCTGCTGGGGGGCTGCTTGGGGAGGCTGGAGCAGCACCTCTAGACACGGGCCTGGCTGCTTTAAAAACAGAAATGTGAGCCTGGCCGGCGTGGCTCAGTGGTTGAGGGACGACCTATGACCCAGGTCAGGGTTCGGTTCCCGGTCCGGGCCCAGGCCCAGGTTGCAGGCTGGATCCCCAGCGGGACGTGCAGGAGGCAGCTGCCCAATGGCTCTCCCTCATCCTTGATGTTTCTCCCTCCCTCCCTCCCTCCCTCCCTCTCCCTTCCTCTCTGAAATCAATAAAAATATATATTAAAACACACAAAACTGCGAGTCTGGCACGTTTGGGGCTGCGCGGCCCAGTCTCTGCTGTGAGCGGACAGAGGCCATGGCACACGAGGGAATAGACCTGCGTCAGTGCCCAGAAGCTCAGAGCCGGCACATCCCACTGGCAGCTCTCCCACCCGGCCCGCAGGCGGCTCTCCCACGCGGGCCTGTGGGCGAGGCCGGGTCCCTGAGTGCAGGGTTGCAGGAAGCTGGGAGGAGGCCCTGACTTTCGCACCGTAGTCTGACCCGGTGGCAGAGGAGGGGGCCCCACGAGGGAGGGACCCCACGAGGGCTGCAGCGCTGGTTCTGCGGGCGGGCAGCTGAGAGGCCCCAGCACAGCCGGAACGGGAGGGGGTCTGGCGGGAGTGGGGGCCGCCTGAGAACCTCCCTGGCTCCTGGACCCTCCGCGTTCTCAGCTCCACGCACGGGCTGGTGCCCCTCTTCCCAAGGCCTCAACGCACCCTGGGGCCACCT